AGGGCGGAGGGGGGTGTGAGGGGATGGGGGTTACGGAGTTTTTGGGAGTGGAAAAGAGGTTTCGGATCATCCCGTCCCACTGTAAATTCAACACTGCCAGGTCCACGCGAAACCGCGTCCCCAAGTCCACACATCTCTTAAATACCTCTTGGGGTGGTGACTCCACCGCAGCCCTGGGCAGTTTGTTCCAGTGCTTGGCAATCCTGCCAGTTTCCAGTCTGAATTTCCACAGAGAAACTGTGAACAGCTGAGGCTGTTTGCTCTTGTCCTACCACTTAACATTTTAGTCTTTTCTCCCGAGCAGTAAGAACAGCTCAGGTCACTCAAGTGCCCCTCCTCAGGCACTGGCCTTTTACACTCCATATTAGACAAAGAGCTGCAACAGTTTAGCACAACAAATTAGTTGACTCCATTATCACTGCATTATTGGTGAATGCTGTCAATCATAGAATAGTTTGGGTTGGAAGGGACCCTTAAAATCATCTCGTTTCAGCCCTCCCCTGCTGTGGACAGGGACGCCTTCACCAGCCCAGGTTGCTCCAAGCCCCATCCATCCTGGCCTTGGACATTTCTGGGGACGGGGCAGCCACAACCTCTCTGAGCCCTTATTGTGAAAAACTTCATGTTTCGTGTGAGTCAATGCATCAGGGAAATGTTTTGATTGTAAATGTTTTGCTTTGTTGTTATCTTGGTTTGAAATCTACATGGCAAGTGAAGCTAAGTGAGTATGCCATGTGTTTATTTTCCAGACAGACTAAGCCAATGATCTTCAGAGATGGTGTGGGTCCTTGCACAACGCATTTAATTCCTTTACAACTGTCACTGTTTTCTTGAAAGCTTGCTATTGTAGCATTTCAATGCTGGACAACTTACAAAGGTTAAAAGAGATGGGATTTTTGCATGGACAGCTGTGCTACGTGTTATTATGTGATTGTCAAGCAGTTTTGACAGTAATTCATGTGAAACTTGGCTCTTTCCTGTTTGTTTTTTAACCCAAAAGTTATTACTCAAAAAGTTATTTAGCGTGTGCCAAACTTTTTAAGGACCAAATGCTATCAATTTTTGTTCAAATAGCACCACTCAGTGTTCAGTTGTGGTAAGTGACGCTTTCCTACACCTAGCTCTGTTGTCAGCAGTGCTGAAACTGTGATTAAAATAAGGAAAAAACTTCGTTCATCTTAACTTAATGTCAAAAGCCAAACATCTTTTTCTTGTTTCAGAATTAATCCACTTAAATCAATATTCAGTAATAAATCATTGTTACAAAATCATCTATTGTTCTTAGCTGTGTCATTAGGAGCAGGTGAGCTGTCTTGCTGTAGCACGTAGTTAATATATAGATTTCACAGCAAGCTTCCATAGTTTTGTAGCCTTATGCAATGTCTGTACTTAGTTACTTATACATTCTGATGCAGAGATAAGTATTTGTACTAAAATGCAACTGTGCACAGAGAAATCTCCAAGCATCTCTTAGCAGGAAGATCGAAGGAAGGATTTAGTTACTGATTATGTAGTAGTTCCTGTAAACAAAGAAAAACCACTCCCTATAAAGATGTTTGAAAACTGAGCATCTTTCCTGCAGGAAAGATTACAGGCCTATTCAACTCAGCTCAGTTTCCTTTTGTGAAGATAAAATCTGTGTTTACTCCTAACAGTTGTTTGCTTTATTAAATGGTGTGAAGAAAAGCTGTGCTTGTAAAAGAATTGATCTATGTTTTGTGTGCCAAGCTATGCCAGAATACAAATTGACCAGAATTAAAGGTCTGTGGGATTTACTGAAAACAATAGTATTGCCCTTTTCTTTTTAGTCATTGTTAAATAAAATTATAGCCAGCTACTTTCAGAGACTCTTCTCCTACTGTTTGGAGTTACAGATCTTTCTTTATCTTCTCCTTTTGTTTTTTTAATAAAAGATAACTAGATGGTTGAGAAGACCCCAAATAGCACATAGAGCTGTCTAAGCCATTAGTTTACATAAATAGTTGGGCTAGTTAGAATTTTAGTTGCCTTAAACTTGTCAGAAATGTGTTAGCTAGAATATGTTTTAAATACTTTAAACTATAAATGCATTGGTATATACCAATAGTAAAAATTGTTGCGTGTGGTCCAGTCTGGCTAACAGGACAAGGTTTGAATGTCCATGAAAGATGAATATGATCTTAGAGAAAGTGGCAGAGCAAAATATACTAAAAATATGTTATCAAATCACACACACGTTGGATGAAAATGTTTTTAATACCTGCCTTTTCTGCCTTGGGAGTGTGTCTATGGATTTTTTCCCTTTTGAAAATTGTGAGTATGCCAAATTTGATTAACAATACAGACTTAATAATGCTGCACAGGAGTAAAACCTTCTCTTGTACAATTTTTCTCCTTTCATGCTATTATTTTACACTAGCATTATTCTGACACATGCTTTGAATCAGTTTTCTTTGCTGTTACTAGGTTTATGGCAATTAAAGTGATTAATCTGCTTGTTAATAATATAACTACAGTTTCTTATTCTAACCTATGCCCCAAACACTCCTCTGTTCACAGAACAAAAGGAATGAAGTGGTTTATGTGATATGATTTAAGGATTGTTGTTTTGCTACTTGTGGGGATGCCTCCCATTTTGGCTGTGAATTCAGTGTGGAGTTTTCCTGTAATGCTTTTTGCTGGGAAACAGTGAACCTGTTTATGGCGCATTATTTTCTGAAATGCAGCAATCCATTAAACAGATCTTTTAGTCTACCTTTGACAGGAAAGAGGAGCAGGATTCTTGTGTGCCATATTGGCAGGAAGTTTGCTGATACAGGTACATGAGTGGAAATTGACCCTATATAGGTCAGGTTAAAGACATCCAAAATATTATTGTTCATTTGGTGTTTTATAACAAAAAGATTCTGCTGGAGAAGGAGGGAAGGGAAAGAGAAGAATTTGCAGTGTGTCTAAGACCACCAAAAACTTGCCAGTTTGCTAGTTTGGATTGAGTCATCTCCATGGTGCTTTCTACCGGTTTCTAATTTAGATTTGTACAGAGAATTCTCTTCTTGGAAATTTTGTAATGAATGTTTTCTCTTCAAATTGAGATGTTCCATCATGATTGACTGTGCCAGCTATTTGAAGATTTTCTCCTCTGCCTGGCTGAATTTTGTTCAACAGATGGACTTGAAAAACTACCAGAGTTCTGTATCTCACAGAAAAATATTGTCATTCCAGAAACAGTAATTTATGAAAAGAATATAGAAATTTTAAACTATGTGTCCAAGAAATAATACTGTATTTTTCAGAGATCTGTATTAAATCCAAATAAGCTAAAATACTTTCATTAGCAATAAATATTTTAGTGTGAATAGAAACACCATTGGCAAAGCACTTTTGCTTCTTACATTTATCTCTTCACAGGACTGTGCATTATGTATGTCTCCCTTAGGCAATTTAAAGACGCTTATTTTCCAAGCTGTGGAGTATTTCTCCAAGGTGTCTGACCAGAACAACGAGACTGGCCATGTTATTGGCTAAGATAAAGTCTCAACTGGCATCTTTTAAGAACTGCTTGCTGGGGACCTACTTGAAGAGACTTGTGATGTTCACCCTCTTCCAAGGTATGGAGCGCATTGCATGTGCTGAACTGAAGAGTTCTGTCATCAGCCACAGGCACTGACACAAAATCATTCTGGCTGATGCGTGGTCCTATTTATAGTGATAATCAGGGTGGAAATCAGGTCACTGTCTCTCATGGTTACTGATCTGTTTAAACTTAAGTTTCCATGAATGCTCATGCTTGAGATTTTGAAATTTTCTTTCTGTTAGCCATTTTTGTATGTAAAAAGCAGCAGCATGATTGTCTGTAGAGAAAAAAAATAGCCCTAAGCTCCATGACTTAAGCTGACTGACTGTGTGGGTTGTTCAGGCATAAAGTTCTGCCAATGTGAACATACTGCTCCTGAAACTGGAAGGCAACATTTCTGCATGACCTCTTGTGACCCAGATCCTTCTGTTTGTTCCCACTTTAGGGCTATCTATAGATAGTGCTCAGGGTTGTCTTTGCTTCCCTTTTTAGCCTTGAGCATGATTCCTCTCCTTTATTGTGAATTGTCTATTGGATCAATTGGTCTGTCTTCAAACCTTCCCCAAATTTGTATCCCACTGGCCCCCTGTCCTGGGGTGACTCAACACCCCCATTAGAAGCTTATTTGTAGTAGTTAAGGTTTAAAGATAAGGAAATTATAGAGATCAGAATACTTTGGTTCACATGAATCTGTGTTACATAAAATGAACTGTCTAGAAACAGGAACAGAAACTGATTTATGTATTTATACCGCAAAACATGAATCAGTTAAATATTTCTGGCAGAGCAAAAAGGAACGTGATGAGAATCTTTTGTCCTAAGGGGGAAAGAACATGTGTATTGTAATTGTTTTTAACATTTTCTGCCACCATTCTGCTATTTATGGTTTTGAATTGGCTGACCCTACTCTGGCAGTGTATTTATGCCAGACATCACGGCCTACAGAAAATATTTTATATGTCTGAAGACCCTGGAAACTGTTCTAATTTGAGGCTCAGAACATTTTGGCATTTCTGTGTCACTGTGGGTTTGTAAATTAGCACTGCTTAGTTGGTGGCTTTTCTTTGAGCTGTGGGAGAGAAATGGTGTTGCAATGTAATACTGAGGATGAAACAAATGGGCAGAACACAAATAATATTATAAATAAGAAAATTGCTAAAATTGTCATTGCGATGTACAGTATACAAAGTGTATTTACTAGTCCAAACTGAAAAACTAAACCATTCATTCCACAGACACCTGTTCTGCAGAGGAATATCTTTCTTGCTGAAATAATTTCTAAGTATTGGAAAGAGTCCTCCTATATGTACTTTCCAGTGGACTGGAATAATACAGAGTAGACCATTTATAATCTGAGTTAACTGAAGCCTCCTGAAAACAAACAAGTAAAATGGATTAGTGTAAAATCAAAGGAGCCAGAGTATCTAGTCTGTCTGCAGGAGCAGCATTTTTGTGCTGCTCCCCTGGAGTCTATGATTACACAGAGCACTGGGGGGTCTATGCTCCCCTCTTAGTCAGGGGAGCTCAGGGAAGCAGCTTGGAATTGTACTGGTGTCTCATAGGTATAGGGAACTCTTGGTTAAAGTTCAGAATAAAATGTGTTTAAAATGTGTTATTTATGTTCATTGAGATAATCCAAGAGCAGCTTTTCCTTCTTCCTGCTTCTGGCAGCAGAAAGTATTTTCAGTATATCAGAACTAATTATGAAGATCACCAGACCATAAGCATTGCCATTATTTAACCTTCTGAGAATCCATCTTGGAGGGAGGAAACAGATACCCAAAAGAATGCACAAGAGTCATCGTAATCCATACAATTTGTTCATATCTTACTCCCTAAGAAAGTTTGTTTCATCTTGATAGAAGTTACTGAGGAGCAAGGAATATCAAATAAATATCAAGCTTATTTAGCTTTTTAACTGGGGCTTTCAATGGAAAGAGAAACCCCAAATACATTTGAGCAATTTTAAGGAGTAGTAGCTACAGCAAACAAGAAACGAAAGAAAAAATTAGGGATGTAAAAACTAATAAGTTATATTCAATAAGAGAAAAGCTGATAGGTTTTCTTCTTCTTGCAGGGTACACCACTGATGTAAGTGGACTGATATTTGCATAAGATGATTATCAAAGAGGAAATGAATTTGCATTTATATCTCCATTTTATGTAGCCTTTTGGCATCAAAAACTGTTCTCTCTCTTAAAAAAATCATGTGATGATAGAGTTCTCTGTAGAAAACAATCACTAAATCCACAAAGAACTTTTTAATTTCTGTTGACCCTGGCAGCAGTCTTTGGCAAAACTTAAAGCAGCAATGGTGTCTTACAGAAGACTTGCTTGATTTCCCATGATGTAACAGGGTATGTAAACTTTTCAGTAGAGTCAACTTTGAGGTTAAAAAATTCTGAATAGAGATGGTCATGCAGGGACAAGTTCCAAGGCTTAAGAGTACAAATGTGCAATTAGTGTGACAATTCAGACTTTTTTGTCAAATATTAGTGAAAATGCAAAGTAAGAAACATCAGGAAACCGGTTACATTAGCAAAGAAGTTTTATATGGAAATTTAGGCCACTTGCATGTCATATGACTTAGGAAAGCAGAGAATAAATTCAGAAAGGAAAAAGGTGAATTAACCTTGGGAGACCAGCTAGATCTGAACACTAGCTGTAAGGAGAAAGAAAAGTTTGCCTCTTAGTGGCTGGATCAAGGAATAAGTGCTATTCTCCTGAGTCTTTCAGATTTGGAGCATGAAGAAAGAATCAAAGGGTTCTGGTTGATAAGGAATGCAATAGTGACATCATGGCAGAGAAGGAATCATAAAATCAGAATATCCTAAGTTGGAAGGGTTCCACTGGGATCACTGAGTCCAGCTCCTGGCCCTGCACAGGACCACTCCAAAATCACACCATGTGCCCAAGGGTGTGGTCCAAGTGCTTCTTGAGCTCTCTCAGGCTTGGTGCTGTGACCGCTTCCTTGGGTAGGCTGGTCCAGTGCCCAAACACCCTCTGGTGGGCTGCCCAAACACCTTTTATTTTATATTCAACCTGAGCCTCCCCTGACTCAGCTTCACACTGTTCCCTCAGGTCCTGTCACTGTCACCAGAGAGAAGAGAGCAGTGCCTGTCCCTCCTCTGCCCTTTGTGAGGAAGCTGTAGGCAGCTGCATTCTAATGAAAGCTTTAGAATGAACATAACTTTTCTCCTCGTCCTGCTCTCTTACCTTTCATGGTCCTACACCTCTCAAATTCCAGTCATTTTTGCTACCTCTGAAGCTGTTGCCTTCATTCATTTTGGGGTTTTATTCTCCCAGTCCTCTAGTTTATAGAATCTATCAGGGCTGCTTGGTCCTTTGGGAATTCATAGGCACTTCCAATGAGGCTCTACTGTTATGGGTATTTTTGCTGATATGAATTCCTGTAGGTACTTTCTGAGTATCATATATATTATGTGCTCATTTATCCATTATTTTTTGTAACCACCTTTTTCTTTTCTTCTCTTGTGCCTGTTTGTTAAATCCTGAGTAAAATGTACACAACAATATAATTGAAGGGCAGTGCCTTGATCTGTTCTGAAAGTTGTATTGAAAATCCTATGGCTTCTTACATATTTTTTATTACTGTATCTCATTTGGGAGTGCTTTTATAACACTGTTTTTGTAGCAAGCATCTTCTGTTGGTTATATCTTCTATATTAAGGAGTATGAAAGAGACTAAAAGTAACAATGATTTGTGGAAATTAGATGTGGCTTTTCCCAAGTTGCAGGTACATGTCATGGTTGTTTGAAGTTTGGCTACTTTTATTCATAACAAGATTATATACTTTCCTACTTTCAGTAAAAGTCTTTCCATTATACGGTCTGCATTGACTTACAATAATGATTTTTAAATATGTTTTTCTTCCTCAGAAATGTTTGTGAAGTCTTGCCAAGAGATAAAAAAAAAAAAAAAAAGAGAGAAAGAAAACAATCTGAATAAGCATGAATCTGAAAGAAGAAATGGTTACTACTGAGAGTGGTTGATTCTTCTCACTGTGTATTACTAAGAAATGCCAAACCAAGTCCTGCAAAATAAATTGTTAGAAATAGCCTGGCATTGCATACTCAAAGCCTAAGCTGATCAAAGTAATGAGCTTCAGTCTGTAACATCATGAGGGATGATTCTGTTCCCTACAGCATGAAAATATGCTGGCAATAATAAGCCTGGCAATATCTGGTGCTTCTTAATTTTTATTGTATGACATCTTTTGTGCTGTTATGAATCCTACATGATCCTAGTTAAATTTGGAAAGAAGGAGAACAGCTTTGTTGCTTTAATAACTTCTGCTGCTCCTGTAAAAAGTCTATATTTGCATGTCAATTTAGCACACTTAATTTTCTACTACGGTTCACTGTTCTCATTGTTTCACATATCCTGGCATGAACTCATTTAATTTATTCCTTTGTTAGCCTGTGTCCAGCTGGTGAACTGCTAATCCTAGCAAAGGTTATCAAATGCAACAAAAATTGAACTAGATTTTTTTCAGGAAGTACTAAAGGAGGTATTTGACTATGATATCCTTCTCACTGTAATGGCAGATAAATGCAACCATAATCTGATTATAGTGTATAGCTGTGTTTACTTCAAAGAACTGAAATTAGAAAATATCATACTTATAGTTATTGTGGTCCAGAATGCATCTCTGCCAGACTCCAATGAGTGTTCTCTTAGCTTTCATCCAGGAGAGGATGGAGCACCTGTCCTGTGGGAAAAGGCTGAGAGAATAGGGATTGTTCAGCCTGGAAAAGAGAAACATTTCAAGGTCCCCTTTGAACCCAAACCATTCTATAACCCTATGATTTTGATGTTTTCAAACTTAAGTTTTCAAACTGAAGCTAGAGGGCCAGTTCTAGTCATCTGTACATTATAATGTCATCTCTTAGAGCTGTAAAAACTTCTAGCTCATGCTTCAGAGTTCCTCACATCTTAGACAAAATCAGGGTGATGGGTACACTGGATAGCACATGATATCCCTGGGAGACATTTGAAAAGATTCATTTTACTAATTTTTGTTGGCAATTATTACAATGATTGTTGAGACAGGCTGGTAAAATTTTCTTCTTTTTGCTAGGTATAACAAATTAACTTCTTCTGTGTTACCATTTTCAGCACTAGGATTACTTGTAGGCTTGGCAAGATAATTGAACTCCTGAGATAAAAAATGTTATGAGGATAGTTTCCTTCAAGTAGAATTCATAATCAGTGAATGATTTTAGACAGGCTTTTCAGTGCAGTATGGATGGGTGATGTCCAGAGCTGTTCAGATATTTCCTGTTTAACTGGAGGAAGATTGATTATATGCTTATGACCAGTCATTAGTGCAAAAAAGGAAAAAAGCCAATTCAAACCAGTGAAATTAAAAGCATCCTTACAATAGTTCCTTTTGTCCAGACTCTTATCTGTAGTATTTTTATGCTTGTCGCTAGAAGCAGCTTGTTGGTAGCAGATGGAATCTTTTGATGGCCTTACATTCTTTTCAGCAGCAAGTTATTCTCATGTATTTCTGTGTTGTCCTAGCCCTCGGGCTTTGCTACAATAGTATCCTGAGTAATGTAGCTGTATATTTAATTTTTTTTAAAGTACTGCAGTGCAGTTTTTACCTCGGCTGTCTGGGCAGCACAAGGATCCAGAGGAGGCACTGGAGGTGATGTTGTGTAGACACGAAGGGTAAAGACAGGAAGTTTGGAGGGGGAAGCTGAAACCTGTAAATGAGATTCAAGGAGGGAATGAAACACGATGAGTGTCAGGCAGAGCAAATGATAATTCCAGCAACCTTGTGGATACAATGGAGAATAAGGCTGTAACTTCAGGAAGGAAGAGGAGGCAGTGAGACAGAATGAGTTTTCTCAATGTGGTCAAGAGCAAATAATGCCTTGGTGCATTTTTGTTTTTAGCAGTAGATATTCCAAAGTATTCTGACCCATGGAAATTGATTTGTTCTGCTTGTTACACTGATTATTTCTAGAAATTTGCTGAAGGTAGGAACAAGAAAATGTTTTTCAGTGGCAGTCAGTCCTGCAAATAAGTGTTATGGCACCACAATGTAACTAATGCCAAATGTGTCATCATGCCTTAGTCTGAAAGGAATTTAGGATGGATGCCTGTTTTCTTAGTGAATAAAATACAGTTTCACCCTAATTAGACTCATTTTTATTGAGGACAATGGTTAAATTGTATTAACTACCTCTCTCCTCAATATTACTGCAGTCTGTACCAGTGACTGATCCTTTGGCTGATGTAAAACTGTGCATGTGGGAGATGTTTAATCTGGGGCAGGACTAAACCTAGTCCAAAGAGAAACCCTAGAAAAGTGCATTGTGTAAGCATGAAGGCCTGAGAATAAATTGTATTGAAGTACTGATACATTCCTATTGTGCCCAAATTACTAATGCAGACCTAACATATGTTAACAAACTATTATTCAAATCTATTTTTATATTTTATTTTGAGAATTACTCCAAATCTGTGTTTTAGTACTTTCTAGTAGGAAAGAAACAGCTACTTTTGTTTTTGCAAACTGGATTTATTCTTTAGTAGAAAGTCTCCAGAAGAAAGATTTCTGAATCCTCACCCAACCATAGATTCAGGGAAGGAGATAACAGACCTGCCCTAAAATCCTGAACTGAACTGTTTTGTAACCTTACAGCTGGAAAGATTTACACTGCAAAGACACAATGGAACTGTGTCATCCTTGAGATTGCCATACACATCACTCATTCCCCTACTCATTTTCCCTTGCATTTTACTCTGTAAAGGTGATTCATTTACACAGACAGAACAAATACTGCTAGGCAGAAATCCATGTCTGCATAGAAGCTATTTTAATGCTGTTTAGAATAGCACACACTTTTTCCTGAAATGTCTCAAAGATCATCATTCATATGACAGAATTGTGTGTTTGCTAATGTAATTTCTGTTGGATATTTTGGATTTCAGAGAAAACAGGAGCTCCTTGAGAGCAAAGAATTGCTAAAATGATAAACATGCTACCATTTGAACTCTTGAAAATGCCCATAAAAACTGACACGTCAGTAGTGGATTAACATTAAAAAATCTGGTGTACAGCAGGAAGCAGGGCCTAAATCTGGGGAAAACAATAGGCAGTAAGAGCTTTTGTATCTGGGAAGGATTTCCTTGTTTTATATTTGCTTGTAAACATGGCATGAATTCTGCTGAAACATGCAGGGCAGTTTTAGTGATTTACATGTCTGAGAACTTTCCCTGGTGACAAAAATAGCGGGGATTTTATTTTTAAAACTTAAATAAAATGTTACCTCATCTGATTGCAGGGGACACAGAAGCTTCTATTTCTACCCACTGCATTCTGAGCTGTTAAACTAATATTTCCAATCAGATGTGTAACAATGCCTCTCATTTTCAAAGGCAGATGAATCATACAGAGATGCCACACCAAACAGGTCTTATTCTTTCTTACTTCCAATGAAAATTACTTATTATTTTAAACCTTATTTCAAAATTTTCTGCGTGTAATCTGTCAGATTACAAAACCAGTGTCTTGAGCAAAGTTTTGATTGTTAAATTATAATTCCCTGTTTTTCTGCTTGCCATATTTGTAAAAAGAAAATTGACCTGATGTTCTGAATTTTTCCAAATTGATGTTTTGTTACCCAGTGACACAAACACTTCCAGCCTTTGTGTTTCTACATTAGTTTCAAGAAAGTGATTTACTTATTAATGATTGCAGACCTTTAATAATGCAGGATTTCTATGAATTTTTCTAGCTTGGATCCTACCACCTCATAAAGGAAGATGTTGTATAATATGAAGAAATAATGCTTTGCAACAAGTGCTTGAAGTGAATTAATACTGTGAATTTCAAGGTCAGTGGTACTTTTTGTGCCAAGATGGCTGTTGTTGCTTGGTCTCTGCAGGCCAGAAAGTGGCTTTAAAAAGACAGCAAGCTAAGAAACCAAAGTATTGTTTAATGACATACACATGGTGACTGATGACATGGTGCTACTGAGAAATTAATCAATTTCTTTAGTCCTCTCGTAATTAGGTTTACAGCCTTTAGGGAAGAGCTATGGTAAGGAAGCTAGAGAACAAATGGCTAAGGGTGGGGAGGGGAGGGGTGAGTAAAGCCAGCCTTGAAACTCTTTCCAAAATACAGACAAATGAAAAATACTCATTAATATGTCAACTGAATCGGTATCTAAATCTAAATGCCAACCAGGACTATCTCTGTAGCCTAAATACTCATTTTATTGTATTTTTTCTGCAAGATCTGCAGGCCATGAAGGCAGTTTCTAGACAGGCATTTTCATGCCACTGTTTCCTAGGGAGTGCTAGTTTGCCTAACAGAACCCTAAAGGTCCAAAAAAAGTCTGCTTCCATGTTATGCTTTCACATGGGAGTTAAAAAGCTCAGAAAAAAAATAACATCAAATGACAAATGTATACACCTGAAGCTAGATATAAAATGATGAGAGAAGTGGTGGATCTTTTACACAGATTCTCTTCACCCAGACCAGTTTCAATGGATTTGTGCAAGCCAAAGAAAGACTGATTAACTCAGGATACAGCACGGAACAGTGTGATTTGCCTTGTTCCAGCAGCCCAGGGTCAGCAGCCTTGCAAGCTTGCCAGACAGTATTTTCTTTTCCCAAATTAGAAGTTGTGTGTGCCAATAGAGGGTTTCCTGGTTAATTCTGAACTGTAAATTGAGGGAGAGCCAGGTGCCCTGGCCTCATCCAGAGTCAGGAGAGAGCTAACCAGTGAGTCCTGAGGATCTCACTGCTGTGAAGTTCAGCAGGAGCTGTGAGCCCCTGATTGCCATACAAGGGTATTTTGGCCACTCATCGGTGACAGTACCCTAGAAGGCAACTCCTCTATTGCAGCATCCTGGTATAAGAAGAAAAGTATGATTTTCAGGAATCTTACAAATTTATATAAACTGGGAAAACAAACCATCGCTATGGGGATGTGCAATATCAAGACAGGAAAACATATGCCATAGTTTGAAGTATTTTCTCACTTTGAGACCTTATTTCAATTATGCAAAAAGCAACAAAGTGATTCTGACACTCTTCTACCATTGGACTGGAACATCAGTAAAGTTTCTTTCTCAGTTCTTGATAGCCTTTTAGTGCTCATGTGGCAGATGTTCCTCAGCCCAGTCACTGTCAAACACTCATTGGTTTAGTACGTGCATAAAATGATGACAGCACTGACAGCACTGGGGGTATGGAGTGAGTGCTCAATGTTGCACTGGTGCAGGCTGCTGCTAATATTAGAACAGAATGAAAGCTCACTTCCTGGAGGCATCAGCAAGCTTTATTTGCAAATTTTTTACAGTTGCATCAGACATGTGGAATAAATTATCATGAACTGCTTGTGATTAAATGTAAAGTACCAGAAGGATTTGCAATAGTTAATCCCTTTATTTCTGGAGTCTGTGAAGAGCAAATTAAGCTGAAGACTGATACATAACTGGTTTTCATTAAACTAATGCTCTTATATTATAGTATTGTTTGGTTTGATTATGGAACAATTTTAGAAATTACAAGCTTTAGAAATAAGGCAGTCAGCAATGTGTACTAGTCTATAACTGATGTTATTCTGCACGAACCACAATTTTATACTGTGATACTTCCAAAGTGACATTAGAGGTATTAAAACTTTCTTTGACATTCTCCCAAATTCTGCTGAATGATAATCTTCTATTTCCATGTAGTTTAATTTCAACAAAGTTTTAGGAGACAGTTTTGCTTTCCATTTAACTAAAATAGAACTGAAAGGATTTACCTCAGCAAATGTAAGTCCATGTTACTGAAAGGATTTACCTCAGCAAATGTAAGTCCATGTTAAAAATAAAAGCTAAAACACTTGAAACAATTAAATCAAATTTTGTTAGCATGCAAAAGGAATTAACCTCTGTTCTGGGAAAGTGTGTGAATAAAAAAGAAAGCAAACAGAGAATAGTAAATGCACTTGGTTTCTCATTCAGTTCCTTCTCTCTTTGTCCTTCTTTTCCCTTTATATATCTACCAAAGGAGCATTCTACACTTATGTTTGTGATGTAAATGCAGCTGTGTCTGGAGCTCTGGACAAGAGGTGCTATGAAGAAGGAGTTCTCCTCCTTCAGTGGCAGAACAGGGAGCTCTGGATTGCTGGTGAGTTCTCTGGGTCCAGAGAGCAGCAAGATCCTGCTGGCTGAGCACGTTCTTTCCCCGGAGACCCTGCAAAGAAGCCGGGTTAAGTGGATTATCTGCATGGCTCCAGGTGTTGAGGTAAACCTCTAAGCCTGTGGTTTTAAGAGCCAAGGTGAGCTGATCTAGTAGTTTACCACTGCTGAAAGGTTAATCTTGTTCCTTTGCTCCCAGCTAACACACCCATCACTTTCTTCACTGAGTTCTGCACTGAAGGATCAGAAGACTGGAATAGAAAAAGAGGAGACTGCACACATCCTTCTTGACAAGGGAAAGCACTGGCATTGCTTCCCTTGTCAAGAGGGATGTGTGCACACATTCCTTTACCCCCCACCCC